GATTTGGGTCATAGATGTGCACTCATATTCGGTGTTGTTGGGACTGCCTTGGGCGATGGCGGTAGGTGCCCGCATGCATTTCGATTCCAAACAGTTGGTGCTTACGCAAACAGGAGGAAAGCCGCAGACAGTCCCGTTGCAGATTTCAACCCGAACAGTAAAAAGGAATCCTAATCCTGCTCGGGTAGGGATGATTCAAGATCCCGATCACGAGGAATTTTCATCCCCGGATAGTAATAGCGGATTCGAAGAACAGGAGTGCGAAGAAGAGATGCCTAGTGAGAGTGAATGGAAACACTTGGTCGAACTTTTCGAGCATGAAACCCCAGAGGAATTTCGGGTGGTTCCTAGAACCACACGAACTTTCCACTTGAGTTTGGGAGACAACATGCTCACGCCTATGGAAACCCAGGTCAGTCCCTCGACCTTTTTCGGAGAACCCATCTTGCAAATATCTAATCTGGCAGACGATTTGGAACCCCCTCGCACCTTGTACGAGGGAACACTTTCCCTCCGAGCACGCTATCAACAGGCGAAACAATACCTGGATGTTTCTATTTCCCCTCCAAGGTCACTGCTTACGACAGGAACGACCATCGCTCGGATTAGACAAGAAGCCGAAGCTCCTGTCGACGATGTGCCCGATCTAATGCAGGAAATGGTGGATTTAACAAGACTAACCGTGGAAGAAACCTCGGCTGATCCTGAAACTGACGCCGAAGTTAAAGAGACAGAGATGATTAGCCCCGCTGAATCCCAGATGATCGCGACTGTATTTTCTGTCCGCACTAGCAGCTCTATTTTTTCTAGCGTCCATGACCGACGGAATCGGCCTGCTAATTGGATCGATATGCCCCTTGAGATACCCGATCGACCGACTGTCACTCTGCTCGATCACGTTCCCCTGGAATTTCGACAATCACTGATTAACGTCTTGAATGGGTACGTAGAGGTATTAAGTGTGCGTGATAACGATATTGGGTTGTCCAACATGATCCAGCATGCCATCCTTACGGGGGATCATCCAACCATTAGCTGCGTTCCTTATCGATACTCGTCAGCCCAACGGGCGGCCGCGTTTCAACGAATTAAGGAATTCGAAGCTAATGGATGGATCGAACCCGCTCTAGGACCTTGGTCGTTTCCTGTGGACCTCTGTGGTAGTCGTGCCCAAGAAGGCCGGAGGGATTCGCATATGCATCGATTATCGAAAACTAAACGATATCACGATCAAGGATGTGTACCCCCTTCCCCAGATTGATGAGCTGTTGGATGCGATTGGGAGTGCTCGATTTTTCAGTAAGTTTGATGTTCGACATGGGTTTCATCATCTTCTTGTTCGAGAGGAGGATCGTCCGAAAACGGCGTTTGTGTTGTTCGAAGGAACTTGGCAATGGGTTCGATGTCCAATGGGCATCTGCAATGCCCCCGCAACCTTTCAGCGAGCCATGAACATGGCTTTCCAGAACTTTGTGTGGAAGACACGTCTGGCGCAGAGTATCATCAACTATTGCGTGATTGTGTACATGGATGATATTCTGGTGTATTCGAGTTCTTACGAGGGGCATGAGCAGCACATCGAGTGGACGCTGCATGCATTAAGAAATGCCGGTTTCAAGGTGGCGCTGGAGAAATGCCAGTTCTTTATCACCACCATTTCCTTCCTGGGACACGTGGTGACAGACCAGGGACTCAGACCGGAACCGCAAAAGGTGGCAGCTGTGAGAGACGCGCGTGTGCCCACGACTATTACGCAAGTTCGCGCCTTTCTGGGCCTGGCCTCGTACTACCAAAGGTTTATCAAGGGCTTCGCGGCTATTGCGGGACCCATCACGAATCTGTTGAAAAAGGATCAACCGTTGATTTGGCCACCAGAGTGTGATCAAGCGTTTTCGAAACTCAAGGCAGCTCTTATTTCGGCTCCGGTCCTTATAAGACCGGATCCTTAAAAACCTTTTGTACTCATCACGGACTGGCAGCCGGAGGCAATCTCAGCGATCTTGGCCCAGGTAGGACCAGGCGGACTCGAATGCGTGGTGGAATACGCGTCTAAGTCGGTGCATGCCTGCAAGCGCAATTACGCCGCCCCGACAGCAGAATACTATGCGGCTCTGTGGGGGATCAGTCATTTTCGAGCCTATTTGTATGGGTGGAAGTTCACGCTGGTCACCAATCATGAGCCATTATTCGCCCTGAAGAAATCTAAGGATTATTCGGGCATGATCGGGAGATGGGCAACGGTGCTACAGAGCATGGACTTTGACATTCGTCATCGGAAGCACGAGAGGCACGGGAATGCTGACGGGTTGACACGACTGCACCGACTCGAGAAGGTCCTCAAGAGCGAGGAGGGTTTTCTGTGGAACGAGCCGAAGGAAAAGAACGGACCGCGGTACGGGCAAGTGGAAATTATGTCGAAGGAGTGAGTGACACGGGGCTTTTTGCTTTACCCTCTCTGCAGCCCTGCTCTCTCTCTCTCTCTCTCTCTCTCTCTCTCTCTCTCTCTCTCTCTCTCTCTCTCTCTCTCTCTCTCTCTCTCTCT